CCCTGGCAGCATATCATGAATATATCCCAAAAAACCATTACTTTTTTTGTTTGAAAATTATGTATGCGAGTTGACAATTGGCTAATTGTGCAATAGCACCAAAAGATAATTTGGGTGGCCCGAGAAATTCCTTTAAATCAGTAATTGCATAATTTACATATGATGTATTTACAGATCATACAGTGCCCTCCACAGTTGATACCCTCGGCAAATATAAGCTAAACAAGCCATAGAAAAATGTATCTTTCATTCAAAAATCTAACTTTTTATTAAAAAGTTGTATTTGTAATTAAAAGAAAATATATAAACTCAGCAAAAAAAAAAAAAAGGTCTCTCACTTCCAACTGTTTTTATTGCCTGCTAATTTCTTAATGTGTAAATATTTGAATATTTTTTAAGAAAGGGAATAAGAAAGTGTGGGGGGCGGGGTGAGCATCTCATCCTCATGGACTGCACCAGATTTGCCAGTTCTTGGCAGGATTATGGCATGTTAATGCAGGTGATCAGGAACCCTGACATCTTTCTTCTAGTGGTTTTGAGTCAGCAGAAAGGTCTTACTGTCCAAAATTATTATAACTGTGAGCTTAATTGCCTGCTGGAAGGTCCACGGCCCAGTTTTAACTTCGTGACAGGGTCATTTAGATGCTGATTTAATATCTGTTGGTACCTGATGGACCATGTATCCCAACAAGATGTCCAGCGCCTCCACCATACTTTATCACAAAGCTGGACTCAGTAACTAGGGAGGAACCAGCGGGAACCAGGAATCCAAGAAATGCAAGGAACAAAACTGAGCACACCAACAAGACATCCATACATGGACAAGACCTGAACAAGAGCACAAGAAAACACAAGGGCTTATATACACTGGGGTTAACAAGACTAACTAGAAAAAAGTAAAAGTAGTATTTAAAGCACCACCTATGGTTTGATCGGGGTGTGTGTGGGTTTTTACAGTCTGTTTTGCTAATATTTACCAAGGGTGCCAATATTAGTGGAGTACACTGTAAATGCTTATCTGATTTAGTCAAAGAGGTTTTTTCATTGATCTGCTGGACTCATCAGTCATCAGTGGACCCCTGTGACCACCTCTCATTGGCTTTGTTTTCCAGTCCCACCCAAGCTGCACAAGAAAACTGACCATGCGACAGGATCAATAAAACTGTATGTGGCCAATGCAGATGAAGAGCGTTTCCAGGAGTTTTCTGCATGCCAGAAGCTGGGCCGGAAGGGACGCTGTCTTACGGTGGAATGGGTATATGTCACGCTGCTCTATAATACATTTGCACTTAATTGGTTCATTTAAGTTTTAATTTCTTTCTCTGTCTCTTCCTTAATGTCAAGAATAATGCCAGCCATGAGTTTGAGCTTTTACCCAGCTCTGTCGCCCCCTGTCTGTGCTTTGAGGTAATGTTTATTTACATTTATTCATTTAGCAGACACTTTTATCCAAAACGACTTACAAGTGATAGATCATAAAGAGGCAATAAAACACAGCAAGTGCTTGTTTGACAAAGTTTCAGGCATGGCTTAGAATAGCACAAGCTAGAACAGGGTGGGATTAAGGAAAAGTTGAATTATTGAATTAGTAAACAAATAAATAGAAAAGCATCATTAAAGTCATGCATACAAACATACAGAATCGATTTTTTTATATAAGTAACACTGACTAAAGATGGAAAGCTTATAGAGCGATGTTTATATTTGAACATGTGGAAACTATGTAAAAACTGTCTACCGAGAATGTAAATATTAGTTATGTGGGAAGCTAGTATTATTATTATTGTTGCAGTTTTTCTTGCTCTTTAACTGATGCTTATTCTCTTTCTACTTTTGCATAGATTTGGGGAAACTTTCCTCGAACCGAGTATTGTCCATTTTTGAATGAAACAGGTATGGCATTCAAATATATTCAGCCGCACCTTGGTATAGTCAGAGTTTACAGGCTGGAAATGGCGTTCTAGTAGGAAAGTACTACTAGTACTACAGTAGTAGGAAAATTCAAACTTTTTTCATGTTGAACTGAAGAGAAGCAAAGACACAAGTTTCAACCTCCATCTCACAAGCTCTACAGATTTCCACTGTAAGCACATTTAAAATCAGAAAATGAGACGGTTTTGTTTGTTTTGGAGGAAATCATGGAAATTATATTCTTCTGTAATCGTGCATGCGACAGATGCTGTCCATGGAGCGTCAGCTCAGGAGATAACAATGCAGTCAGTGCAAACACTGTAACATCATGAGTGTTTCGCTCTGGTTTCGTTCTCAGCTGTCTCAGGAGCCAGCGTGTCCGTGTCTTTGGCAGAGACTGAAACGCATCTCAAGGCTCTGGTCTGGAGCCTCAGCGCCCCCTGCAGGCTGGAGGCTCAGCTGTGGTTGTGTAGGAAGGGCTCAGGACTGGACAGCCGCTGCCATGCGGTCAACAGCAGATCTCAGGTCCACACCCGGCTGAACGACAGCTGGAAGGAGACCGACCACAGACACTGGGTGTGAACGTGCTTGAGATATCAAATATGGTGCAGGACAAGTCACACGGGGAAGTTTAATAATTCGAGTTAGGGGGTCATTCAAATCACAAGAACGAGAACTGTATAAGCTATAGTAATCATGAGGCTTGACATGACAGTATAAGTAAACTCAAGTGTGCTTCTGAGCTATACTTCTCTTACACTTATTTTTCTTTCATCTGTTGCAGCAGTTAAAAGGAGAGTTTTTACAAGTGGAACGTCATCCTTCTTTGTGTGTGCAGGTACCTAATGTGTATTTTATCACGTTTGCAGTTCATTTCTGACATACCTGTGTGTTTTGGGGAACTGGCAGCGTTGTGTCTCTTGTCCAGGTTAAAGTGGCGGGAATGGATGGTTTCCTGGGACCAGTATGTCCTTTTGAAGGCAAGAGCTCACATCCATTAGTTCTGCATAGAGAGCAGTTTTAACTTTAGTACTACAGATGTGATTTAATAGCAGCTTGTTGTTTCACTGCTGCAGTGAAGAGGGATCACTGGAGCGTCCCGCTGGTGCTGTGTGCGCTGCTAGTGTGCCTGTCGGTGCTGGCAGCCTATGCAGTGCAGGGGACACTGAAGGGTGAGTAGAACACAGATTACACAAAAATATGGCTGCACTCCGGGTGTGTGTGTTCAC